GGTGTATACCTGAGACGTCCTCGGTGGTGATATCTCTCAGATAATGGTTTGCAACCACCATATCGGATTTCCAGAAATAACCCTCCATTATTTCAATCACATTTGTGTAGAACAATTGTAGAAGTTAGCGCTTATAATATCATGAGTATTAAGCTCATGGAGGGTCGGAATAGGTCCATCCGCATATGCACGTAGTATGACAGTTCTGATCCAAATGGAGATATAGTACATGAGACTTCACTCTGCGTGAAGTTGATGATAGAGGAAATAATCTGTTGCATTTTTTCCTCCTGTTTGGTTTGGTGGAGATAAATTTACAGTGCTCTTGCTGGCCAACTTGATAGAATCATCGTGATCATGGGGTCCAAGTATGTCATCCAGGCGTGTTCATAAACCTCACTTGTGAGGTGTTGGAGCACTATATTCATATCCCCAGGTTGGGCGGAAATTTCCGCTTTATTCTCCAAACAGAAGTTTAGTAGGTTTACTAACCATCTAGTTGTGTTAGTCGCTTGATGAAATTCAGCTGTAGTTCGAAACGCTGTGGATTTAGATCCACTTGTATCTTCGCCTCAGGTAATTCGCCGCTAAGTCCTTGACGATGTAGGTGCACAACCAGGTGTGTCTGTCCTCGCTGAACTTTATGTAAAATCGCCTGACTGCCGCATCCCTCGCCTTAACTTGACAGGGAGGTCTCTAACTTGAAGAAAGGCAGTCTAATCATGAATGTTCAGGTTAACTGGACTGTAATGAGGCTTGCTCGCTCACTGATATATAGTTGTCACTTGTGACGTAAGTCTTGAACTGTGAATTGAGATCGACCTCTGTGTAGGTCGCTGTCCCTCAAGCGTCCAATCAGAACAAGGCATTTTGATTCTGTATAATACCCGCTGTGATGTCACCGTGTAGCGGAAAACCCACCTTGAATAAATTTTGTCGCCGCTGATATTAGCATAAACGCCGGTCTTCACCGTAGCTTCCCCGGTTATCCGAAAGTGACCACGGTTTCGAGGGTTAATGGTAATCGCGCTAAAACCTCCGCGCCAAATATCTCGCTTCTGTAATTTTATGCTGGGTAGGTTATTTTCCTGGTTGTCGGAAAGTAATTTCAGTTTTGAATATAATTCGACTTCCTTATATATAAGGGTATAAACAACTTGCAAGTTGTGAGCTTGTAGACTGTATACATGAATGTATCGCCATAATTGTAGAATTAACGTTGAACTTGTTGTACATATTTCTTTTCTCAGAAACTTTGACGATTAAGAGTTATACTCGCTGTAACAAGGCTGCTGTTCAATTTCGATATTGAATTGTTCGCAGATATGAATGGTCACGCATGTAGATAATCGTGATCGCCGTCCGGGATTGTATATTAGCAATTTATAATGAATAGTTGATTTCTGTGAAGATCTATGAAATGTCGCTGACTATTAATACAGCGACGCTCTGTGTTGTAAATAGCCTGAGCAATTATCTTCGCAGAGGCTTATAGACGGCATCTGGCATACAGTTGATAATCAACTTATGCGACGCCTTGAACGGACTGACGAAAGTAGCTATATATGACGAAAGTGGCTAGTATATGGAAACCTTGGAGGAGACTTCCTCGGTGAACGCTGAGACTTCGCTAAGTTCTCAAGTATCCCTTCTAGATCTTCTGGGTGAAGTAGACTTGAGTTACTTAGCCTTCGCGACCATCGCTAAGGTGTCGAGTCAAAGCCCGATTAGTATATATATATATATATAAATATATATATGAGAGCTTGCTTCGGAACAGCCTCTGTGTTTAACAGGATGTGGATCGGGCTAAGCGCTTGCCTAAGTAGGGCCGCATGGATCATCTTATCATATTCAGAAGTCGCGGTTACTTAAGTCTGGTGATAAGTGTCTAATTGATCGCTCTAGATCTATTTAGGCCAGCTTAACATACGCCTCGCCATGGATTCAACAGAACCAATATACGATTGTAGTTCTTATACTTGATATCGATGATCAACTTGTCTATGGGTTGATCTTCTCGAGACTTGTGAGGGGAACGCTGATAGTTTCGCCAAGCTCTTGTATAGTCCCTCGATGTCCTTCTAGATGATGATGATCTGATTCAGGTGTCTTTCAAGATGCCTTCGCCGAAGCTTCCTCTGCGTCCGTCCGGGGAACGACGATATGACCTTTCGCGAAGGCTTCCGTGATGTCTGATGGTCCGAGTCCACATCTAGGGATGAAACCGCGATAAGGTGATGATCTATCCTGCCTTCGCTAAGTCCTTCGCAAGGCTGTACATCTAGGTTCTTTCCGCCGCCAAGGCTGTACATCTAGGTCCTTTTCCGCCGCCAAGGCCTTCAAGGCTGTACATCTAGGTCCTTCGCCAAGGTGGTCCGCGGACTTCCTTCGCGAAGGTGACATCGCCCTGGCTGCTACGCTGACGGGGTGCCTCTGGGTGTTGTTCACGCTTGGAGCCTTCGCTGGCGTTCGACCCTGCTACCGCAGATATAGTGGTCCTCCATGATGTTCATAATTTGTCGCATCATGTCTTCTGGGATGGTCTGCTAACGCAGGTCGCCGGTGCTTTATCTGGCGTGTTAATGGAGGGGTCCACCGAAAATCGTCCGACATCAGTGTAGAGGCATCAGGCTGCATGGTGATCTCTGCTGATGTCGCTGTAGCTGTCACCGGGTCAAGTCTTGTATGCGACGCCGGGATGATGATCAGCTGATCATCGAGAGGTCCAGGTCATCGGCTGGAACAATCTCGCTGAGAAAGTCCTAGTAGACTTCGCTGATTTTCCTCAGAGGTCGACGCTGCCCTGGGTGCGCGACGCCTGGCGCTGAGTGTTGGTAATGATGGGACCCTCAGGACGATCATCATCGCGATATCTGGCGCTGGTACATCAGGCTGCATGCTGATCTGAGCCGACATCGGGTCAATCTTTGATGTACTGGTAGAAAAACCTCTAGTCTTCTGCCGCGACGATGGGATGTCTGGGGAAGCAGGATGCTTCTTGAGATGGCGGACTACGCCCCACACCTCTCCACCACTCTAGCGAACACCACACGGAGGGGAGTCGGCCAACAGCAGTAGACTGGCGAGGGGTTCCGTGTATCAGTCATACTAGAGTCTGCATACGCCGACCTATCTGCTGTGCGCCAAACGCAGTAAATATTAATAAAAAGGTAGAATTGATAAATTAGTACCGCGAACTGCAATGTGAATATAATAAACATGGCTACCGCACATCATATTAAAGGCGGATCAGCAGCAGCATAAAAACGAATCTGCAATAGTACAGAATTTTCATCAACGTAATCCACTGAAACAAACACGGCCCCGTGAATAAACTGTAGAAAACCACTAAATATCAATATATAATCGCTGAAGGATACTAGCTAAACCTCTATAGATGTCTATACGAGGTAACTAACTAAATATATTTCAAAGGATATAGTGTGTCGGGAGACACAGGCGCCTCACGCCCAGCTCACTGGGCTTAAGAAGGAGAGAGTGAGGCACATGGGTAGAGGTGGCTCTCCCTCCCCGCTTGCCAGAAAAAGGAGGTAACTCGTGGTGAATACTAATTAGTGATTTTAAATTGAAGGAGCTTCAATTAGGAGATACAAGTGTTCCACTATGTTCGCAAGAAGAAGAAGACAAGCAAAAAGAGCATGAGTCAGGATAAGGAAAATTTGAAGCAAATGGCGGTGTCTGGGACATGTGACATATCCTTCATTCATATATCTGCCGTAGTTTCGTATTTTCGACTGAATATGATTGCTGTTTCTTATTTTGAGCAACGTAGGCATTGGCAACATCAATCACATCAGTCTCCGCCGGCTTCTAGTTGTCTTAAAGAGGTCCCAGTGAAGTCTTGTGATTGATGACGTTCACTTACATATGATCCTGTTTCTCATAATGAAGCCTGATAAACAGTACCTTTAACCGTATGATAATGTACATATGGTAACGTTTGTATCAAGAAAAAATCACGCTTGACCCATGCCTTCTTTAGTCGGAAGTTACCAGCCCAATATGGTACTATTTTCTATTTTGGCAAAATAATTATGCATTTCCATATTAGATCAATTATTCCTCGGATTTACTAATCATGACTAAAAAAATAGATATATTAATACGACCAATCTTGTTGTGGTAACGTACTTATCTTGTAACCTGGCGACATTTTCAAGATTAACGAAAACCTTGCTTTATTGTGTTTGATGGTAATAAAGATGTATTTAATTATCAGAAGAAATGTTCATGTTTAGGTAAATATCAGAACCAATAACTTGCAGGGTAGTTCTTGGTCACAACCAGACATTATACAAGAATAGTTTGCTGGCGACAGGTAACGTGCGCAGCGTTTTGCAATGTTAAGCCTCTGGCATTTTCATAATGTTACCTGCAGCAATGACTTTTCTAGTTCAAAAATGTTGTGTACAATAGCTCTACTAAACAAGACATTGTATTTGACTTTTTAATCAGTTTTAAACTGTGCAATCAGCTGGCACATCAAAAGTCTCTCATTACTGAGAATGAGTGTTATGTTTCCATGTGTTTGTTTATCTGGTTATTTAATCTAACATATTTCAGTTGAAGTTAAGCGGTGTCCTTGGAGTGTCCTTGAATGGGTGACTGAGTTTGGCAGCTTGACTTCTGAGAGTTTCTAGAACTTCATTTAAAGAAGCACATGTGACACATGTGGTCACACCTTAGGCAAACGAGTTTGTTCAAAATTGCTTCTGTTTACCCAGCAGTAAGTGGGTACCCGGTAGGATAAGATGGTCATATGGCTTTAAACCTTTTAGCGCCTCACATGCACTTCGCTCTGTTTTAAGGATATATTTTCATAGAAACATGTGAGTTTCCATCTGGAGAAAGAAATCAAAATATAGTGCTCTCCAAAAATTCCTTCTTCTAGCCAAGCCATTTTTTAGCTAAGGAGGAATCGGTAAAATGCTGAAAAAAGCCCAGTCTCATCTGAGGAATAAACAAAGGATACTCACTGGAATGTATTCTTCTATCCGTCCATCATGATATATGCCATACAATTTTGGTCCCATTCCTTTCTCTGACAAGAGCGCGAACACAACGGAGTTGTGGACAACAAACTCCTTACTACTCTTGGCAATGTGTCCATAAATACGTAGCAAGACACATGTCGGCTCCCCGGCCTCAGGATCCAGATTGTCCGGAAGGTAGCACAAGTATAGGAAGTTTGTAAGACCACCACTGGAAGAAGAAACACAAGTATGCTGTTATAAATGTCATATTATTTTCTTTGGTCGAGAATCTGTACAATATTTACATGTATTGCACTAAAAATTCAGAAATACATTTGTACAGGTATTTCTTCTTAAATAAATTGATTCAAACAGCTTACACTTTGATTTTCATCATATAATTTTCACCTCAATGACCAAAAACTATACAGTCACCTCAATCAATTTTTTGATTGTAAAAAAAAAAGGCAATAATCCAATGTCTACAAAAATGGATAAAATGATGTTTAGTATAGATGATCACTGTATACACAATTGTAAAATTATTTTGAAAGTATAACTCAATTAATTAGACTTCAAAGCCAAACTGATAAGGTGGTAAGACATTTCCCTGTATACCCCAATAGTTAAGATTGGATTTAAAGATATAACATGTTATATTTGGGACTACACTTTCTCAGTAAGGTACAGATCCTTGTACCTTTGTAACACACATCAGCCATCTAATCCACATATCATCGTGTATTCGTGAAGTTAAAGAGCCAAGTTAGTGTTGCCAGCTAACTAATAGGGGTGGGTATTGTAGAGAATATCCATATTGCGATATATTGCGATGCAAAAGCATATATTGCGATATGTATTGCAATATATTGCAAGAATTTTTTTTTTAACAAAACAACTACTTATGATCGAGTTAAAACACAACAAAATCACTATGCTTGATTAAGCTTTAATAAAAACATGTAATCATGAGGAAACAAGGAAAAGAACGATTTAACATCAACACAGTGGTTACCAGTTTGAACTTGTTTCTCCACTCTCAAAAAAGCACTGAGATTTAAAACATTCAGATCCAAAACATTGCGAAACATTTGAACAATTAAGAACACAACTTCAAACCGAACTTAACTTCCAGATTTCTGAGTGTTACGATGTTTTCCGAATGCATGTCGAAATACCGGTTTTCGATCAGCGTATCGCAACATGTATCGATTTCATGTCTGAACCGGTAAATACCGGTAAACCGGTTATATTGAGCAGCCCTACTAACTAACCCTACTTGTATCATCAAAAGGTAAGACCATACTTGTAAATATTTATTTATCACAGAAAAAGTTAAACAGTCTCTATGCTAACATCACAATGTCTAGACATGAAAAATGCTTAACATGTGATCTTAAAGAATGCTTAACATGTGATCTTAAAGAATGCTTAACATGTGATCTTAAAGAATGCTTAACATCTGATCTTAAAGAATGCTTAACACAGTGAACACTTTTTAACAGACATGAAAATGTCTTTCAGTGCACATCACTCAGTTTGAAAGGTTATTCTTGACACCATTTTTAATGAGTTTGTTCAGTGGACTGGAAAAGTAGAAGCTTAAATTCGTCAACTTTGACAGCATAAAAAGTTAAGCATTGTTAAGTTAAAATGTACATAGTGACATAAACCTGTCAGGTAAGTCTTACATATGGTATACAAGTTTCCAAACTTGCTCTTAATACACAGTTTCATATTTCATCTTACTTTTTACCTGCACCTGCCGCTGCACCTGCACTTCCACATCACAGGTTTCATTAATTACAGGTGTAAGGTAACTTAAATCCAACCCAGAACGTATAAGAGATCTGGCTAGCTATTCTCGAAACGTTTGTAGCCCTACGAACTTCTTAAGCCCATTCTACTGCCTCCGTGGTGTAGTGGTTAGAGCGTCCGCCCAGAGTGCGGAAGGTCGCGGGTTTGATCCCCGACCGCGTCATACCAAAAGACGTTAAAATATGGTACTTGTTGGTCCCTGTCTGGCGTTCGGCATTAATGGGTACATCAAGGACTAGTCGGCTTGGAGTCAGTATAATGTGTCTGAGTGGGGTATTCATGCTTCACTGCGGCATGGTATTACAGTGGGCTAGCACTATAAAACCAGCTTAAGTCTGGGCTAGTACAAGCAGCCGCACATACACAAACACACGCATGCATGTCGTCATATGAGCGAAATATTCTCAAGCACGACGTTAAACCTAATTCCACCACCACCACCACTTAAGCCCATTCTTAACACATTGGCTACGATCAAAGTTAAGAATTCTTAGGGCTACGAACGTTTCGAAAATAAGAGCCCTGATGTTTATTTGAGACCTGGTAGAAACATGATGGCGCTTTTAAATCTTAAAGACCCAGAACTAAAGTCCCAGAACACTTATATTTTTGGCTGTTTTTTGTTTGTTGTTTAACGCCGCACTCAGAAATACTCTAGCAATATGACAGCGATCTGTTGGTTGGTTGTATGGTTGGTTGGTAGGTTTGTTCTTTAACGGCGGTCTGTTAATAATCGATCTGTAAATAATCGAGTCTGGACCAGACAATCCAGTGATTAACATCATGAACATCGATCTAAGGCAATTGGGATACGATGACATGTGTCAACCAAGTCAGCGAGTCTGACCACCCGATCCCATTAGCCGCCTCTTAAAAAATTGCTTGAGACCAATTGTAACCTTGTTCTTCACGGGAACCAGCACATGCTGAAGATCCTGCTCTTAATTAAATACCCAGTGCTTATTAGAGACCCTGTACCCAAGAAACACTGTAGTCTGAATGGCTACACACTGTGAAAGGCTACACAGCACTGCTATGTTTGAGAACCTCCTCAAGATGGCACTTTATTTGCGAACCTTCCTAAACATCCTTGAACCGTTGGTATACATTACAGGGATGTACCTATATCTATATACTCACGAGTCCTGGGTAAACTCGGTAATGTAGTTGGGGGATACTGGGGATTCAAACAGGGGTCACAGGGAAACCACCATACTGACAGCATATATCCTTGTTGTAATTGTATGGAAATAGTTTGTGTTTCTTAATACAAATGGAGTGAGTGAGTGAGTGAGTGAGTGAGAGAGATACAAATGGAGTGAGTGAGTGAGTGAGTGAGTGAGTGAAAGTGGGCATTGTATGGGTAGGTTTTGGTTGGGTGAGTGAGTGAGTGAGTGAGTGAGTGAGTGAGTGAGTGAGTGAGTGAGTGAGTGAGTGGAACAGAAAAGTAAGATGAGTAAGTAGAAATTACAAATTTCATTTCAGGAAGTTTAATATTCGACTTCATTCTTCTTTTGCTCCAAGGTTTCATAGTGGATATTATTTCCATCAAGTTCTGATATTTACAAGAAAAAAATGCAATATTTTGAGTCTGTTAAAGGCCTGGTACTAACTGCAATATATATATAGACAGGCGCCATCTTCCCTAGGTTGGGGAGTTAACTGATTATAAAAGTGCTGTTTCAAATCATGAGTCTAGGATCATGGAGTTACAAATGTATCTAACAAATTAATGTAAATTCCAGTCAAAATAATGTAACGAATCAACACTTAGCACATAAACAACATGCTGATTGTCTGAATGGTCCAGAGCATGTGTACAATCAACTGGGTGTCAGCAGATACACATATATTCCAAATCTTCATGTTATATATCAAGCTTCTCAAGTGATCTGAGGCTCTGTGTGAGGTAAGACCCATTTTATAGCAATGTGACAGACCTTGATTATAACTCACATAATCTTGACTGGATGCTGCCATATTTTAAGCAAATATTAGCTATGGGAGAGTTGGAATCTGATTGGCCAATCAGTGACACATACAAGGGAAATAACTCATAATGCCTCAAAATTTCAACCTTGATTGCCATTGGTGGAAGCTTATATTCACATTCAGTTACTTTGGGTGAGGTGAGGTGAGGTGAAATTGGGTTTAACGTCGTGCTTGAGAATATTTCGCTCATAGGACGGCGTGCATGTGTATGTGTATGTGCGGCTGCTTGTACTAGCCCAGACTTAAGCTGGTTTTATAGTGCTAGCCCACTGAGATACCATGCCGCAGTGAAGCATGAATACCCCACTCAGACACAGTATACTGACTCCCGAGCCGATCAGTCCTTGTTGTACCCATTAATGCCAAGCGCCAGACAGGGACCAACAAGTACCATATTTTAACGTCTTTTGGTCTGACGTGGCCGGGGATCGAACCTGTGACCTTCCGCTATCCGGGTGGACGCTCTAACCACTACACCACGGAGGCGGTCAAATAATAACTTTGGTAACGTAAGTATGATACATACGTTACCATGTGTACAACACTGGTTAATGTTAAATACCTCCAAACAACCTTGGGACCAACAAGTACCATATTTTAACGTCTTTTGGTATGACGCGGTCAGGGCTTGAACCCGCAACCTTCCGCTCTCCGGGCGGACGCTCTAACCACTACACCACGGAGGCGGCCAGTTACTTAGGGAAGATGACAGGTACATATATAAAGAAAAAGATATCCAACGCGAAGATTGCGTTAGAAAAGTGTTGACAATGAAATAAACTTCTATAAGCTTGTTAAATATAGATCTTGTGTCTTATGAAAAAAATAATTTATGGAGCAAGTTTTAGGACAGGTAGGATTGATTATGTATAAACTTCTAAACATTAAACTAAACATTTTTCACTTTTTTAAAAGGGGAAATACATTTTTTTTGGTCTGCATTGAACATGTTAAAGTAAACATAGGCCAAGTTTATATTTGACAACACTTGACCTGTTAATGATATCGTCTTTCATAATTACACTCCTCTGGCCGTTTCCTGCCTTGTCAGTTTTGGACTTCAATCAGTGTGTAATACCAGACACTGTGTACTCAGACACTGTAATATGGGACACTTTGTAAATGGTTACCATTATAGTGAAACCACGGATACAAAACAAGTAGATGTATTACCAGGGCTCCAGATAATTTTTCTACATCAGGAGTACATACTCCTTATTTTTTCAATACAGGAGTACTGGAAAATCTTAAGAGTACATTTAGAGTACTGAATGGAATATAATGGAGTATCAGTAATCTTGTGTTTCGTTTCATATATGCACCACGACATTGCTACTCTTGTGTAAACAGGTCAATAAACAATAAAACAATACTTTTTCAGATAATACGTCTGTAAATGATTCTAAGACCGTACACCAT